ATAGACCCCCACCACCAGAACTTAACAACAACTGTGGAGAGTGTGGAAGATCCAGCATGAGGAGCCTGCAGCCTGATGCTGTGGGTAGGGGGGGAGAAGAAGAACGAAAGCATGGCTCGATTGCCTAGGCATACGGTGAAAGGGAGAGACACGGAATTCTGCCTGGATTCCCTGCAGACAAGGAATACCCCCACCAACAATACAGCCCCCTCCCGGGACGAACACTTTGAAGTCCCCCCAAAGACGAGCACAGAAGAGGGGAGTGAGAACGCGGGGAATCAGAATGCAGAGATCTGGAGACCTGGTGTCCGCCTGAATACCGTTCCTATCAGCAATGGGGAAGAGCGTGCGATAGGGAGGGGGGATGAATTGAGAGACGGGGTAAGCACCCGATCACGCAGCAAACAAATGGAACGGTGGAGAACTGTCGACACGAAGATTGCCAGGACGGAGGAGGAGGGCATAGACCCCCAAATATGTAACACCCATATGAAAGTTACTCATGACAGTGGAAGAGTGAGAAGAAAGGGTGTGGAGCAGGGATTGAGAAAAGCGTGTGTGTGTGGGGGAGTGTCTGTGAGCCCAGGGAAGCTTGTAACACTGATAGAGGAGAAACAGATGCCCCCAGGGTGGAGAATGAAAACAAAAAGGGGAGGAGGGTCAGTGCTATGGAAGGAAATAAGGATAAAGGGGTGGTGGAGGAGATGAATACCAGTAATGAGATAGTGGAAGGAATGATCCGGAAGAACCATAGAAGGAAGCGTAAGGAGAGTAATAAAGAAACATCTGGAACACTAATTAACCGGCCGGGACCGGTGACGCGGTCCATGAGCCGGGTGCAGATGCCGGCAAAACCCATTTAAGTCATCATTGTTTACTGGCTCCTTAGCCCTGATGATGTTTGGAGTTTCCAAACGAAAGCTTGGCAGCTTTTAGTAAAGTATATTTTTATATTTATACTCTCCTGGTGTTCGTATTTTATTTGTACCATAGACATGCCCAGGAGTCGTATTTTTATGCAAATTTTCATATATATATATATATATATATATATATATATATATATATATATATATATATATATATGAACTAGGCTATAAGCAGAAGCAATTTTCTATAGAATTATAGCTGCTCACACTTACTTACTGGAAAGTGACTCTCTTAAGAGATCAATTCAGAGTATTCTCAAGTACCTAGAGTGCAATTTTGTTCCTTCTTTATTAAAAATGATACGGTTCTCTCGCAGGTCCCTTGAGTAAAGTTTCAATATAGATTTAATTATTCCTCATTCTTATCAAGACCGCAGTATGATATTAATAGCAATAGGCAAACTCCCCCTGGCCTGATTCAGAATAGACACAAGTAAAATGATGTATTTCCAAAATTGCTGGATAAAATTGTAGAAAATAAAATCCTTTCACTTGATTTTATTCCAGATTTGATCCAACACTGGAAAGTTGCTACAGTTCATTAACCAGCCATAGGATATTGCTTGGCTACTACAATACATCTTTTGTCAGCCTCACTCACTTGAGGATTGTTGGTAGCAGAAAGCAGGGGCTATTGGGTGGGTGGGTGGGTGAGTGTATAGTACACACACACACACACACACACACACACACACACACACACAAACAAACACTGTAAGTTGCCTAAAGTCCTGACAATAGGCAGCATACAATGGCAGGATGCATATTGTATACACTCAGAGGCACACAGAAAACAAACATTTCCCAGGCTAAGACAATTTAAAGAGTGCCAGACAGGGAAAATCAAATGCATGTATTGACCCATTTCTCATTCAATCTGATGAAACAAAATCGGCTCTAGAAATTCTTTCAAAGGAGAATAGAGCGTGTGATGTTTGCACTTGCTTAGTCATAAAGCATCCATAAGGTGAACATGTGGGAATGTTCTGTCTCTCACTATACAGCCATCTTTCTCCAAGCCTTACAGTCTGGTTTGGCTTCTCACCTTTAATTAAAGTCCAAGGAACAGCATCATAATAGGGCTGCCTCATTTGCATGTCATGCTCACATTAAGCACACACACACACACACACACACACACACACACACACACACACAAAATTTCCCCAGTTATCAATGCTACTGGTCCAGAAAAATCTCTTCTTTTAACCCAATACAAGTTTATTTCAGCTTTCAACAAAGGAATACCAGATCTAGTAGCTAGGGATGATGGAAATTGTAGACTTTCTAGAAGACAATTGCCTATTCACTTTTCATAATTGCAATGGAAACAACTTAGAAATTCTTTAGGACAGCAATAGTCCCAAACTCTCTTGTAATGGAGGTATTTAAATAGCAAAGGATGACCTTGCATCACAGAGGCATTTTCAGGATCCAATCTGGGTCAGTCACTGGGACCAGGCATTTAGTCTTCCAAGCTTTTAGACATGGGCTGGAACCCATCCTCAGGGAACTTCTCTCTCACCAGAATGTGTGCTTTGGGCTGTTCTACACATAGCATTTACTGTATGTAATTCCTGGTTGTGTATGGCTTTTTAGTTGTTGATTGGGGTGTTGATGGCCCGCTAGTAAATCGCTGGCTGTTATTTCCTTGTGCTGCCAAGTTCTCAGCCACTAAGTACCTGATAAGCTAGTGGTAAATCAGCACTCCTTTTGAACTTCAAGAAAGCTTTTACACTCAAATTCAGTTTAAGACACAGATGAGATTCATGATGATTTCCCACCCCCTTTCCTTTCTGCCCTCATTTTCTTATTGTGCTTTGCTCCTTCCAAATCTCCAGGATGGGTTCTCTAGACTCTAACTCTACATTAAGTCATATATTAATGCACTCCTGTTGACTGACAAGGGACCCATTTCTCAAGCTTTAATCATTCCCCTGGCTATTTTTGTACCTGCTCAGCCAACAATCTTAGTAGTTGTGAAATTGAATATATGTCCTCTCAGTGTCAGGCTACCAATGAGTTTGGGTCTCCTCATCTGATCACACACTTGTGTTCTTGCAATCTGGTGGTTAGCTTCTTCCCTGTCTGCCCTGTATAATCATGGGGCAATCAAGGCAGACGATCTGATAGATTATTTTAGAAGTATCTCCCATCTCTAAGCAATCTTTGCAATGCATGATTTGAGGTGTTTTCAACTGCTTCTGTGAACATTGCAGATTTTAGAATCTACCTATGTGATGTAGCCTATAGAAATAGATTCAAAATCAGAAAAAGAAAAAAAAAGTGATGCTGTTTATAAAATAAATAACATGTTTAATTCAAGAATGCCATATGTTCATGAATTGGTTTGCACAAAAATGACATCCATCTGGGCCTGGAATTGAGTAAGCAGCCAAAGAAGAGAGACAGGCACTTACCTCAACTATAAAACAATATATATTTGCCAGGAGCAGGAGGAACATGCAAAAGATATAAACATGTGTTATGGACTGAAGTTCAAATTTCTACACCAAAGCCATAGAAGTCAGTGGGCAGAAGCCAACAGTGGAATGGGGACAGAAAAGACAGTATGAGGTTCTCAAATGGCACAACTTGAGTAAAACTTAGATTTGTCTTTCTATAGTATGGCAGGCTGTTAAAAAATGCAGGGCAAGGATTAGGAAATGGCTAACTGAACAAGAAACAGATTAATGATGCAGACACAGTTGCTGTGTTATACTGGCAGAGAAATCTATTTTCTATTAGGGCATCCATTAACCGTAAATCTTGTTTCAAATTTTGAGATATTTTTTTCAGAGCAACTTAAAGTCCATAAGGTCATGCAGACATCTGAAGTGAATCAATCATGAAACTAGAGGATTTAGATTTGGTTCTGATTACTGTGAATATTGTTTTACCTCAAAGGGTCTCAGAATCTTTCCAGAAGGACCCTAGTGGACTCAGGGTTTTTAGTCAAATTGGATATACATCTTTACTTTAAATTTAGGTGAAAGCTGGTCTCATGTGTATCTCAGAAGAGTCAGAAATGATTTATTTCAGAGAAATGTTTGTGGGGGAGTAGCCTCTGTTTTGACAAAAACAAAACAAAAGATAATACCCAGCCCTTCATAATAATGCCATTTCCTAGATGCAAGGATGAGGATCCTTGGGGGCCTATAAAAATTGGTAGCAGAGCCACTGTAAAGCTTACTGAGCTTTGTACAGTAATGATGTTCTTTGGGATTTCAAATCAATATCAAGTCTCCTGAATGACTAGATTGTTTTTTGATGTATTATATTTAAGAACATTGAATTAATTATCCCCTGACTTCTAGAGTTATTTTTCCCTTTCTCTCCCTATGCAAGCCCTCCTACTGTCCTGTGCTTATGCCCTGCCAAGAAGTTGCAACTTCTCTACCCAACATGGATACACAAACACACTTTAGCAATAGGCCAAAAAGAATCAAGTAGCCGTAGATGAACACACAATCCAAATGTGCGGCTATGTTAAGCTCCTTTCCCTGGTGAAATTTCAACAATTTTTCCAAGCCTGCTGCCCATTTTCAATCAGCAGTACACAAATTACTAGAGGTTTAGCTAAAAGGCAACACTGAGATCCAGGCTGATACCTATCAGAAGTTACACAACTTAACAGAAACCAATTATCTGGATTACTCTTCCTCAGGATCATAGGAGATCTGCAAAAGATGCGATGTAATTATTATACTGGACTTGTTCAATGCTCTTTTCTAACTCTCCGGTGCTAAGCAGGCCAATCTCCAAGTGATTTTAATGATAAAGGAGAGAAAATCTTGCAACGTCTGCAAATCACAATCAATTGCAAACTGGAGGAGGTACTTTTAATCTTCTTGGTAAGAACTAAAGCCATTTCACACCCTCTAACAATCTGGTAGCGAAGCATGTGGCCTAGATGAACAGAATAGCTGACTCAAGAATTAGCACAGATATTTAAGTCTGAGAAGCAGAGGGGCACCAAAGAGCACAGGTCATAATATTGTTGATTATTGAATGAACTAGTCACCTAGGACAGTTTATACATCCTTCTCCTTCTGCTTGTTCTTCTTTCAGCCCAACAGGACCAAATGCTCCTCCACAGCAACCAGGCAGAGAGTAACACAGCTACTACCGGACAAACACTGGGAAACCAACAGCAGCAGCAGGAGCCCAACGACCAAGGTCAGGAGTTGTAATTATTATAGTTCCCTGCACTATCATTGCCAATTTCATTTATTAAAACCCAGAACTAAAGGAGATCCCCTCACACCCCAAAGTGCGGCTGAATCATCAGAGTCTTTTGCTTCTTTGTACTCAGAAAGGTGAGGGGGCAGAAGAGAATATTTATAGAGAATAGGCTTACAGGAGAGCTACTGAATTGAATGAGCAAAAAAATCATTTTCAGGGATAATCTGGTGATGACCTCATAAGAAACAACTAAAGCAATGCAAAGTCCAGGGCTGCAATGGCATGAATTCAGTGGTTATAGAAGTCAGATATTAGCTGCTGCTATGTTCTGTGATCCAGAGATAACTATAGATAGACCATCAGACCTTTGCTTATTTTATAAGCCAAGACACCAGCTGCAACCCCTTCAGACTCTTCTTGCAAAAACAGATGAATGGGAAATGTTTTCTCCCTAACCGTAAAAAAATTTATTCTAGAAATTCTTTATTTCAAAGTGTACCACTCTGATGCCTATATATTCAAGCATGTCTGCAGACTTTTTCCTTATACCTGATTTTCTCCCCCAAAGATTGATTTGATTTTTAAAAACCAAATAGGTAGCTGGCATGCTGCAAAGCAAGTTACCCACCTCTGGCATCTTCATTAATTTTTCGGCTCCCCTATATAAGGTGTTATTATACAAAAACAGTAGTCGTTGGATGTCATCATTAATTCATTGAGATTAAATGCAATAAAGGAAGGTAATGAGCCCTGTAGGGTGGATTAGGGGATGTTTCAAGATTAAAAAAAAAATGTATTTCAGGGTCCATATTCTAAATGGTGTTAGGAGGCCAACAAGTAATGACTGATGTCAACAAAACAGGCAGAGATCAATTTTTGGGGAGGGAAAGGGGAGCTTTGTTCTTGGAGGGGGTTTTCTGGGAGGGGGTGAGATTGCTGGGAATGTGAGAGTCAGTTTCGTTTAGTGATTAAGTCACCAAGCGATAAAGTGGGTGACTGTGAGTTCTAGTCCCAACTTCTCTCTCTCTCTCTCTCTCTCTCTCTCTCTCTCTCTCTCTCTCTCTCTCTCTCTATCTATCTATCTCTAACTATATCTCTAACTATCTCTCTTCTCTCTATATACATATTTATCTCTCTCTCTCTTCTCTCTCTCTCTCTCTCTCTCTCCATATATATATCTATATCTATCTATCTATCTATCTATCTATCTATCTATCTATATATCTAACTCTCTCTCTCTCTCTCTAACTATATCTCTATCTCTCTTCTCTCTATATACATATTTATCTCTCTCTCTCTCCATATTTCTCTTTCTCTCTCTCTCTCTCTCTCTCTCTCTCTCTAGCTCTCTCTCTCTCTGTCTATCTCTATCTCTATTTCTATCTCTATCTCTATCTCTAACTATCTCTCTTCTCTCTATATACATATTTATCTCTCTCTCTCTCTCTCTCCTCTCTCTCTCCATATTTATATCTCTATCTCTATCTCTCTAACTCTCTCTCTCTCTGCAGCTTACAGATATTAAATAAAATATAGTATAAAACCTTAAGACAATAAATAGAGATCATAAATTTAAAATTCAATCAAAATAAAATTAAGCAGGATGGGAGGGAGGGAGAGAACCACTGGGTGACTTTGGACCAGTCTGTCTGTCAGCCCAACCCACCTGACAGGGTTGCCGTTATGGGGAAAAGAGGGGGAGAAAGATATGCTGGACATATTCACCACCTTGAGTTATTCGTAAAAATGGGCAGGATACAAATAAGTAAGCTATAACTAAATATATAAATAAGTTGCCAAGAATGGAACAGGAGTCTCTGGGAGGCAAACCGCTCCCATTTCCGTACTAAAATGTTTGGAAAAGGACAGAGATTGGCATTGGGGGGGGGAGCTAATTTCAGGCTGTTCTTCTTGCATTTGGGTGGACATTTTAAGAAAGGGGATGGGTAAGGCTTGATCCAAGCTTTTATCCTTTAGATATGTTGGACAGGAAATGTTTATTGTCTTATTATTTTAATGTTTTACAATATATTTTGTTTAATGTCTGTAAACTGCTTAGAGTTGCCTTGGATGAGATGAGAGGCATACAAGTTTTATAAACAAATAAAAAAAAATTCTCAGAGAAAGTGAATTGGAGCGTCCATTGCTAAAGGAAGTGATATATTGCTAAAGTGTGATTTCATTTTTGTACTGCAGATTCCTATGAACACAATGGCTGTTCAATTCCTTCATAGGTTCAGTCTCATAGAGTATAACACATTTATTGAAATGGTAAAAACAGAAATCGACTAGGTAGACAAAGACTCCACTTAACGTTCATTAAATTTCTGTTAACTGTTCAATAGACTCTCCTGGAATTATAACTACCCTATAATGAATATGGATCATTCAGCAATTATTGGTGACTGTTGCTGGTGAAAATGTCACCCGAGGTGCATGACAAAAATAAAAATGGAATACTCATTTGAATGACTGAAGAAACTTTGCACCCTCTTTCTGACAAGAGGCTGTGGGTTTTATTTTGGTGAAGGAGTAAGATTTCCTTGTAGTAAACATCTTCTGCTTTTATTGCATTTTTTTTTTGTCTCTTACCCCTTTCCCCCTTCCACCAATCCAGCAGTTGCACAAAAAACAAATGAACAGATTAGCAGCCAGGAGATGAAACTGACTTTGCTACAGAAGAAGGTTGACAACATTTCAGTCGTCATGAGAGATGTGAGCCGGACGCTTTCCTCTCTGGAAGGCAAAATCAATGAAGATAAGAGCACAGATTTGGTGGCGTTTCTAAAAGGTAAAAGAAAGAAATTAATGCAATCACTCACCCACTTAAAAGTGCCAACAAAAGAGCAAGAGAAGGGGGTGGGTGAGGGAGGAGGAAGACATTACTGTTGCAATATTCCATATTCTGCAAAGAACCATATATTATTTAGTTCTTTCTTTCTTTCTTTCTTTTCCTTCCTTCCTTCCTCCTTCCTTCCTTCCTTCCTTCCTTCCTTCCTCCCTCCCTCTCTCCTTCTTTCTTTCTTTCTTTCTTTCTTTCTTTCTTTCTTTCTTTCTTCCTTCCTCCCTCCCTCCCTCCTTTCTTCCTTCCTTCCTTCCTTCCTTCCTCCCTCCCTCTCTTCTTTCTTTCTTTCTTTCTTTCTTTCTTTCTTTCTTTCTTTCTTTCTTTCTTCCTCCCTCCCTCCCCTTCCTTCCTTCCTTCCTTCCTTCCTTCCTTCCTTCCTTCTTTTTCCTTCCTTCCTTCTTTCCTCTTCCTCCCTCCCTCACTCCCTCCCTCTCCCTCTTTCTTTCTTTCTTTCTTTCTTTCTTTCTTTCTTTCTTTCTTTCTTTCTTTCTTTCTTTCTTTCTTTCTTTCTTTCTTTCTTATGATTGTGAACAATGCTCATAGTGTGCAACTGCATTTTATCCATGCCAAATACATGCACGTTTTTATTGTGTTTTAAAATGCCTGAAATACTGATTTGACCAGAGATTATACTGGTGCAAAAGAAATGAAAATGAACAGGATACACAATGAAGATACTGTCTTCTCCTGATTTTTAGGATTATATGCATATTTTTCAAGCCAGCAGCCCATTTTCCTGCTGGGCTGGTTTGAAAAGCTCTTCTTTCAATATGAACAATCCAGCTGATGAATCAATACATTGCATGAATGTAAGAGTAAGGAAGGATGCTGTTGCAAGCTGGCTTCATGTGATGCATATAATATAATGGATGCTTGTTCTAACTGTTCAATAATATGGTTCTTGTTGTGTTATCACTATTGGCGATAACCAGTAAATTATCCAAAATTTCTGGAGTCATTGACATAAACCAATTAAAACTCTTAACATAATGCAAATATAGAATCTAAATTTAAAATTTCTGGTTGATATCATGATACAAATTGGAGGAGCTTTGGATCGTTTGGTTACTCAGCCCTTCTGCATGCCTCCTTTACAGTCTTCCAAGATTGAAATGTGCCAGCTTAGAAAGCACTGGCAAAGCAAAGATTGCCTATAATAGTATAATGAAGGAATCAATGCTGGATTGTCTTTTTCATGATTGAGATCTAAAGCTCTAGGTTGCTTTAGGATCATAGAATCATAGCCTAAATGCATTAAAAAATTTTCAGTGTAACCATCTAGGATTTTTTTAAAGGCTATAAATATAACATTTAATGCTAAATAAACATTGTCAAGGAGAAAATTCTATTTTGAGGATGCCATCTCAGAGAAGAACCCCCTTCTAATAGCCACTTAAGGCCCCTCATTTGCATTGGGACATCTTGAAATTGTATTTTTAAGTCTTAGAAATATAACTTGAGAAGGCAAGTCCCAAGCAGGGATCTTCAAAAGTTAATACAAGTGCCAGAAGAAGATTTGGCCTGGTAAAAAAGAATTAGGCATAACCAATCCAGAACATGATTAGTATCCTTTTTTGTTCATCATTTGTTAAATTTGCCCCTAAATCTCCATTTTTGCCTGAAATCATTGCCATTTCACTAGCAGCAAAGTTGGAATAAATGACATACCTTTGAGCTTATAAAAGCTATTAGAAGACATAGTCCCACTTCTGGCTTGCCTCTAGCATTGTTAAGCTCCGGATATTGCACTTAAACAATGTTGCTTTAGCCACACTGATATTTACACCTTCTCTCTTATTCATCCTGTCCTCTCTTTGCCCTCGGTGTATTTTATTGTTATGTGGCACTCTTGACCCTTAGGTATACATTCTATATCACTTTGAATATTTCCCATTTCCTTTCTGCTTGCTTTTTATCCATTTCTCTAGTCCCTTTGGGTTAATATGTGCACATTCGGTTATAATGTGCCATTATAGAAGTCATGTGCAGTATTTCTCCACGTCCTTTCCACATTTTTTTCATGCACATTAACCCACAATAAAGTTGCAATCTTCACAAGGATCATGCAAAATTCAGTATGGTTGGTCCTCAATAGAGACCTAGACCCTCATATTGATACACAATGCCTCCATTTCGCAATGATATTGTGATGCCCCAATTCTATTCTGTTCAAATCCTTATTATGACAAAGCTTATCTTTCTTTTTATTCCATGTGTTATATCTAGAATGTATAGCATGTCAAACTGCACTCTAATATACAATTACACATAACACACTCTCCCTGTGAAATTTCTTTTATTCTCCTGATGTTGTTCTTTCTACCGGAAATGTACAGAACAGTGAAACAGAATATTCAGCATTCCAACATAGTTACTGATTCTTACTGAAATATATTAGTGTTACATTTAGCACAAAAAGACATTGCTTTCATTTATCCATTTTTTTTTTACCTTTATTGCATTCCATTTAAACAAAGTTCAAATTTTCAGGTTCTGGCCAAAGGTCACTGCACTAATAAATTGTTGTTGCAAACGAAAACAGGAGTTACTATCCCTGAATTGTCAGAATTATGACAACTGTTACAGGAAGAATTTTGCTGTAAATTCTTGACCTCTAAATGTGGATGATATTGTGACAGAGATATGGTTAATCATCCTCATAATACACATTGTTCTTTTTATTTTATTTATTAATCAAATTTAAGAAGCCACCCATCTCATAGAAAGAGACCCTTGGTGGTGTACAACAGTCCTGCAAAAAGAGTTAAATTAAACAGTTATTAGTTGAAACCATTATATAATAATAATAATTTAAAAAAGAATTTGAAATGATAAAAGCAGAGCTAAATCAGGAAAAGAGAATAATAGATGGAATGATGTTAATAATAAGGAAGTCACCCCACATGTTCACCCGTCCCCTTGAGTTCCCAACAGTGCTGGGATTGAAATATGTGAACAACCAGTTCTCTGTGTGGATGCCGCTTCCGGAAGTCCCTTCTGGGCCTGGGCAACAAAACATTAGCACTGGTTCTGCCGAAGTGATGAGAACTGGCTGAACCCCACCACTGCATATTAGTCATCCATATTTTTGGCAACAATTAAGGAATTTGTTGCTATTGGATATTTTTTTCCAAGTTTCCATCCAGTCTACAGCCTCGAGATTTCTTAATAGCCTCTAGTGTAGGTACTAATCAAGTCTAATCCTGTTTAGATTTCCAGTGTTAATCTTCTGAAGTCATCTAGATGATATAAATGTGACAGAAAGCACAGCAAAGTGGAACCAAGGCTTTCTGTTCCATCTCCTGATAAGGTTAGAAGCTCAGGAATGATGAGGCCAATCTCATCTCCACTGGGAAAAGATTCCATAATACTGGGTGTCATAGCAGAAAACTTCTCTTGATAACAGAACCCATAATGTACCCATTCTGTGAGGTCTGGTGGGACTAGTGGATGAAATCAGGGAAAGACAGTCCCTCCAAGAACCCAGTCTCATGGTTTAAAGGGCAACATCAGCACCTTGAACTGGACCTGGAAACAACTAGTAACCAATGCAGTTAACACAGCGGAGATATAACACATGGTTCTCCACAAATACACATAACTGCTTGCACAGTTGCATTTTGTACCAGCTGAAGTTTTTGGATACTCTCCAAGGTCTGTGAAGGTACATAGGCATGCATGCATGCACATACTGAAATTAAAAAAAAAAAAAAGCAGTCATCTTCAAAATAAAAACAATCCACCTGGGATGGACAGGGACAGCCAAAGAGCCAGATGTGGTCAAGGGGGCATAAAATGCCCAGGTCTGTTCTAAAATGCACTTTAGATTTAGCTGTTAATAATCTACATTGTTTAGTGTAGATGCTTTACTTATTAAAAATTCCCAACAATGCTGACCTTATAAGTAGATGCTCATGGCACCAGCCTTACAAGGATATACATATACAGTGGTGGGATTCAGCCAGTTCGCACCACTTCGGCAGAACTGGTAGCTAATTTTTTGTTGCCCAGGCCCAGAATGGACTTCCAGAAGCAGCATCCACACAGAGAACTGGTTGTTCACATATTTGAATCCCACCACTGTACATATATCACAATACCTCATGCATTGGCGCTGTAATGTAACAATGCTTGTTTCCTATTTTCTAAAAGTTATATCTATTTTGATTGTGGTGCCACCTCTTAATGAAAGGAGTTAGAAATCACCATGCCTGACTGTGAATCTGCCCAGAGAGAATTTATGAAGACTCAGTGAAGTTTATTAGTTGCTGAAATATATTTCTCATCCACACACTGAAGAGTTTCATGTCCCTTTGCTTAGGGAACAATCTGTTTGCCAGGATTCCTAAATTTTTCTTTAAGCCCAATGATGTTTGTATCTCTTCCCTGTATAAGGGATGCTTCTATCCGTATACAGTACATGAGCTGCATTTATACAATTGGCCATTTGAAGGGAAAAGCAGACTTTTCAAGACTTTTTAAACTGATTTCCCCCCAAAAAAGTTTATTTTATTCAAAAGGAGGTTAAAATACAAAACTTAAAACCAATCAGAATAGAGCTGGAAGGGACATTGGAGGTCTTCTAGTCCAGCCCTCTGCTCAGACAGGAGACCCTATACCATTTCAGATAAATGACTGTCCAGTCTCTTCTTAAAAACCTCCAGTGATGGAGCACCCACAACTTCTGAAGGCAAAGGTATTCCAAATATTATTGTCCTCACTGTTAGGAAATTTCTCCTCTCTTCCAGGTTGCTTCTCTCCTTGATTAGTTTCCATCCATTGTTTCTTGTTTTGCCTTCTGATTCTTTGGAAAATAAATTGACCACCTCTTCTTTGTGGTAGCCCCTCAAATACTGGAATACTGCTATCATGTCCCTCTTAGTCCCTCTTTTCTCTAGACTGGCCATACCCAATTCTTGTAAACGTTCTTCATATGTTTTTGTCTC